ATAGAGCAATCGGTAACTGCCACATTGGAGCGCTATCGCTATTTCCGCGTATTCCCTCGTCTCATATCTGACCTCTGTCAATATTGTACTCTTTATGCATTCTACTTCTACATCTGACATTGGGAAGAGTTGTGGTCCTTGGATTGTTGGTGAAAAATGTGTTAGTATGCAAGTTGGTGTTGAAGCAATGGTTGATTGATGAAGAACAAGGGTTGTTGTTGGTGTGACAAATTTGGTAAAGCAGCTCATCATATTCAATAGCGGATGTTAGTGCATTATAATCTCCAATTCGCTCGGAGCAAGAAGTTGATCCTTCACATCATCCTTGAGTCCACCAAAGAAGTTTTGTTTCTTGGTTTCATCATTCCATTGGACATATGCAGCATGGCGTTGGAATTCTGTAGCATAGATCCCAGCTGAACCAGTTTGATGGAGGTTGCGCAGCTTGAAGCAGAAGATTTCTACACGATTGGTATCACCAAAATATTTCTTGAATTCAATCTGAAAATCATTCCACACATGCAACCATGAGGGTTGATCATTGATGTCTATGTTGTGGTATGGGAGTACCCATCTGTATGTTTCATCCTTGAGCAAGTTAGTAGCAAACACAATTCTGCTGATATCAGTAGAGTAGGTACGAGGTTGGACAGTGAAGATTTGGCAAGGAACTCCAAAGTTTGATTATTCTTGCCACTGAATGACGGTGGAGAAGAAATCTTTGGTTCCTTGATGTGCTCAGGTCAAGTGTTGGTAGATGCTTGTAAAGCGTTGATCTGGTCTGAAGTTGGATGATCATGTCCTGTTGAGCGTGGAATGCTTGTTCAGCAGTGAGGTGGGTGTTGTGGTGTTCTGGCATGATGTAAAGTCCTATATGTCAGCAAATGTCCTTGAAAGTTTTGTGTTGCCTTTGGTTTCTTATGAAATATATGTGACTTTTGTCAGTACTGTTAGTGTTTATTCTATTCTGTTGTCACAAAGTGTGTGACAAGTCGAGCGAA